GAGCAGGGAGCCCGATGCGGGACTCGATCCCGGGACTCCAGGATCATGACCTGAGCCGAAGGCAGTCGCTCAACCGACTGAGCCACCCAGGCGCCCAGTAATTTTCTTTAATGCTAGAAAAATTACGAGGGATAATTGATAAAAATTTACTCCATGTTTGTTTCTAAAATAGGCCATACTTGAAATATACTGATTCTTTAAATTCTTCCCTTAATTAGATGTTCCAGAGGGGCCAGACAACTCTGAAAGGAAATATTTTTTTTTGCCTCCTTTAGTTCTAGAAAATGAATCTCAGTTTAAGTGATTTTTCTGTTTTTGTCTGGGTCGCCTTCTGTCACATATTCTAGGAATAACCTCCTTAAATATCAACTTCCTTTTCCACGCCAACCTTATGACAAATCTGTGTCGCTCTCACTCTTCTGTTTCCAAGTGTACCTAGAGATCTGATGTCATAGTACAGCTGCCCCTTTGATGATACAAAGAACAATAACGCCTCTCTCTCGGTCTTTTCCCCTTTTAGCCTCTGACAGTGACAGCGCCATCCCTAACCATCGCCGAGAATATGGCTGACTTGATAGATGGGTACTGCCGGCTGGTGAACGGGGCCACACAGTCTTTTATCATCAGACCCCAGAAAGGTGAGGTCCTGCTTCTGCTTGAGCAGTCCCACTGGGAGCTGTTAGGCGAGCTCATCCCAACTGCCTCTACTTCTTCTTTTAGACGACTCTGAAGACCAAATAAGTAATTCAGCCAAGTACGTCTGTGTTCTTGGTTTTACGGGGAAGTGGGGCAACGCGCAGCCTGTGAGCCGGGTTTGAATAGAAGAGCTTCGGGGAAACAGTGTTGGTGTTCAGGCTACTGGGTTCGGGCAACACTTTCTAGGTGCTTTCTAGGGGGCTGTCAGTGTTTGTAGTAAACTTTTGGGATTATGTTCTGGATTTTTTTTCAGGTATACTTTGTAACTCATGTCAAATAAACTGTTTTTTCTTATAGATCTCAAAAGCTTAGAGCAAAGAACAAAATTCGTTCTAAGGCATGATGTAAAATCAGTGATTAGAATGAGTAATTGTTAGAAACAAGGCTGTATCACTTTGGAAGCCATGTGGGGTTCTTGCAAGGCAGTAAGAAGGGTTGTTTCAGAAGATTTGGAATTCTGAAATAATCAAACAGAACGTTCCCAGCAGGAAAATAGCATAGTGGTAGCAGGAAAAATCTGGGCTCTAGAAATGTATCCTTTTGTATGTTCAAATGGCAAGTCCTCTGAGCTGCCATCTGTAAATTGCTTGACCTTTCTGTGCCTGGTTCTCTAGCTCTGACACACACACAGGGGTACCTGTCTTTTATGGTTTAGGGAGGATAAATGACTTCATCTGTGTGAAAGGCTTGGAACTGTGTCTGGCACATGCAGTGGCCATAAATGTTAGCATTGTTCCCGTGGCTGCTGCTGGCTGCAGGGTGATCCTGACCTACTGTGTGAACCTGGACTCTGACCGTCCTCATCCGTAAAGAACGACGCCTGCTTTATGGCGTGGGAGGTGGGTCCACAGTGGTGCCCACAAAGCAGCCAGCTCTGTGGCCGGTAGACACGGGATCCCCTGCAGCACTCCCCTCCAGGACCAGGACCATCACAGGAAAGTGGTCCTGAGGGGCCGAGTGCTGTGTGTCCAGGTACGCGGCGTGGAGAGGAGCTAGGAAAACAGATGATGGAGTCCTGAACTCCTGGTAGAGACGCAGCAGAAAGCCCGGCCTACCCGCAGCCCCGTACCCTGTGTTCACAGAGCGGCTGGAGGGAGCAGTCGGCGGTGGGGGGGCGGTGTGAGGCAGGGAATCATTGGAACCTTTGTTTAAAAGTTAGTGTCATGATGTGCTCTGAAAACAATAGCTAAAGTGTGTGGATCCTAGGATACGCCTAATCTAGTAAAAATCTTTATGATCACACCAGTAAAACCTATTATTTTCTAAAATATATTTAGATTTATAGTAGCTTTCTTTGTATGAAATATAGTAATGAAGTTGCTTTTAGAAAGGTCTAAAGGCTACTCTCAGTTAAAACTTGTACAGACATAAACTCTTGATTTTTCATTTTGTGTTTTAAGCAGGGGTATGTACCTTGCAAATATTATTTAAATGTTTTAGGGAAATTCCATTCCATGAAGACGGTATTTTGCAAAAGTGTTCAATGTGACATATTGCCTGTCTCCTTTTTAGTAAATAATTTAAAAATTTTTATCCTAATTTACCAAATGTTCTTTATCAGTTTATGCACACAAAAAAATAACATTCAGACATTAAGCATTAAATAAGCCAGCCATTCCATGTTTGAAACTTCAACACCTTCCTGTGTTGGTTTTTAATTGGCTTTTTTTTTCTCCTTAGGGATAAACATTTTGATATCACATCTTGTGAACTGAGATGCATTAAGTTCTTCATGCATATGACAAGAGCACAAGTGAAAACGCTTCTCATAAAATCCTAGTAGGGCGCTGGCTCTTAGCAATTTTATGTTGTCTTTACAGAATGAGACACTAGACTCGATAATGTACTTACTTTATTCTCAATCCCAGCATGTTCGTTTATTATACAACTATTTTGTAATAGATACCTAACGTGAAGGTATACTGCCTAATGGAAATAATACTTTAAATCAAACGTTTTTAATGGATTATGGTCAGAAATATATGTGGACAAGAGCACATGAGCATTTTTTAATTTAGGTTTTTTTTTAAATTTCTAATAAATTTAAAACATGTTTCTACACTCCAGTGCACCATTTTCCTGGCAGTGTGCTTTTAATAACACTTATATATGTACCCATATGTCTTCTCTAGACTGTAAAGTGTTTAATGGTAAGCAACAGGTACGTGTTTATACGCAGAACAGGGACACCAGTTCTAAGTGATCTGTAAGTTCTACCTGTGAGTTGTGAGTATGCTCAGACGCACTTGATTACTTCTGTGATCTACCACAATTACTTTGCACTTATAAAGTGCTTTTAAAGGTGGTGTTTACTGGGGTGGAAAATGTAATTAGAGCCCCAAGCCAGATACCCTGGACTGAGTTCCATCAGAGTTGCTGAACGACCTTGACCCTTACTGTGGGGTTAGCTGACCTGTGCCTTAGCCACAGGAGAGCTCAGTGGCAGTTTTTCAATTTTAGTAAAATTCTCCTCAGAGGAAAGAATTATGCACATTAACATAGGGTCATAATTTCCTCATTCCTCAGAAGATTTCCTGTGTGCGGGATGATAATAAGCCTGTACCTGGGAGGGAGGGGAGGTATGCTTCTAAGAGGTCACGACCCAGGGTGTAGGAAGAACAGAATTGAAAGAGTTGGTTTTGTAAACATGAAAGCACTCCTGTTAGTAAAAGAAACATTGTTTTGTTTTTTTTTAAAGATTTTATTTATTTATTTGAGAGAGAGAGAATGAGAGAGAGCACGTGAGAGTGGGGAGGGTCAGAGGGAGAAGCAGACTCCCCGCCAAGCAGGGAGCCAGACGCGGGACTCGATCCCGGGACTCCAGGATCATGACCTGAGCCGAAGGCAGTCGCCCAACCAACTGAGCCACCCGGGCGCCCCAAGAAACATTTTTTTAAAGCTGAGATACAGGAGGGCAAACATCTGTGACACAGACAACAAAGAATTAAAATCTCTTCTTTCTCGCGTGTTCTTCCAGCTCATTAAGACAAGCCAGTATGAAAATAGGCTCCTTGTAGAAGAGTGGACATGGAGATGTGCAATAGGCATTGGACACCAGCAGCGACAGATTGCGTTTTCTGGTTTAGGTTGGGTGAAGCGACGGGTCTTCCATTCCATCCTTGGAAGATGTGCTCTCCCATTTTGTTGGTGTCTGCATAAGTCGTCGGAGGCCAGTGTAGCGATGGCGCCTGCCCATTGTCCACCTCCTAGAGGTCCTCCTGCAGAATCCGATGGACACCGGGTGTTCACTCTGCAGTGTGCATAGCAGCTCAAAACCAGACACAGCCTAAATGTCCACACAACGGGAAGGAATCACTAAGTGAGGGAGCATGCACCCCTCATAGAGTAGTACTCCACAGCTGTGAAAAACAGGAGGCGGTGCTATTTTCGTGCTAAAAGCCCACACCTACGCACACACACATATATGTAGCCAAGCCTGTGTGTGTGTATTCGCAAGTTCAAGAGGAGTCTGGAAATCTGGGCAGCTAAGTGACCAACTGTGGACAGGGAGTACTCCCGGAGAGGTGGAGATGTGATTGAAGCAGGGGACGAGGCTTCGGCCTTCCCACTTCCTTTCTATAATATGCACCTTTATGATTTAGATTTGTTACAGGGAATCTGCATTGTTCAATTTAAAAAACAGGTAAGAACTTTTATTCAAAAATTCAAAAGTCAAATGTAGGTTAATATAAAGATACATCCTTAATCCTAAAGGATTTATTCCGGGAAATAAGCTATCTGCCGTGGGAATGACACGAGAAGTCGTATGTTAGGCCTTCAGCTTATAAATTTAAAGGAATGTTAAAAACTGACACCTAGAACTGGGCGTTTTAGTCGGTGAGTACTGCATTTTTATAACAGTGCTGCTGCTAGTGTGTGTGGCCATTTTACTCAGTGATTTACGGTCTTGCTTCCTGAAAATGTACTCTCAAGATCCTTTGTTGTTAATCAGCTCATTTACAGCCTTCTCTCTGCTCCTGCCCGGCTGCTTAGGAAGTCTCTATTAACCAAATGTTTATGAGCTGGTCTCTCTTTCTCCCAGGGAAGTAGACTTTGCAACAAAGGGTGCAGACGGCTAGCGGCCGTTATTAACTGACAGTGGGTGTGGACAAGACCTGGTCGGAGCCTTCGTGGGTGGTCAACTAATGATAGGATTTTCTAGTAACTCCGCGTTTGGCCTTCGTGGTGGCACTTGGGTATTTTGCTTGAAATGTGGATGTCAGAAAGTCAGAGTGAGGCAGTTTGGGTGGTACTGCAGCAGCGCATCGGGGGTCACGTGCTGGTCGTCTGCGTTCTGCGCCGCTGCGCATGCCTCACCTGTCCCTGCAAACCAGACGGTCCGATTTCTGTTTCACAGATAAATAGTTGGGCAGAGTCACTCACATGGGATCCAAGGCTGATTCAGTTCTTCATTTACCAAGCAGTGGCCTGAGAACCTTGTGAGCGCAGGGTGCCCTGCTGAGTGTGAGAGACACCTGTGTGCAGGTTGAGTCCGACCTTCGAGTGCGCTCACACATAGAAGTGCCCTGGAACGAGGCAGAGCACAGCAGCACCACCCAGAGCCACCTGAGTTGCTGCAGGAAGGGCTCCCTGGAGCTCAAATTGTGCTTGGATGGAGGTTTTGTTTTTTTAGAATATTACATCATTCGTTCATTCATTTATTTATTTTTAAATTCTAGTTAGTTAACAGGCAGTGCAATATTGGTTTCTGGAGTAGAATTAGTGATTCGTCACTTTCATACAACACCCAGTGCTCATCATAACAAGTGCCCTCCTTAATACCCATCCCCCATCCAACCCATCCCCCACCGAATTGAGCTTTGAGAAATTGAGGAATGGTCTTTCTACCAGAGGGAAGGGCACCTTTCAAGGGTCGGAATGTGTGAAGGCAGCATGATGTGTTCAGGGAACTATGATATGCAGTCACCTAAGACCAGAGAGCAGTAGGGAGCGAGACTGGTGAGACGGGACAAAGGTAACTTCTGGGGGCGAAGAGCTCTTGGGGCTGAGTTCTAGGGCAAGTGCAAGGAGCAGAACTGTAGACAGCAATTGTGACTGCACTGGGTGACACTAATGGACTACCTGGGAAGGCGTTAGATAGATGGGTGGTAGGTGGGCAGACACCCCAAAGATGGAGATAGGGCAGTGTTGTGTGCCAGCAGAAATGAAACAGTGCTTTGTGGGTTGAGCAGATGTGCTTAAATTTCCTCTTAAAAGCCATCGAAAGGGGTGCCTGTCTGGCTCAAGTCAGTAGAGCATGCGACTCTTAATCTCAGGATTGTGAGTTCAAGTCCCACGTTGAGTGTAGACATTACTTAACAATAAAATCTTGGGGCACCTGGGTGGCTCAGTTGGTTAAGTGTCTGCCTTCGGCTCAGGTCATGATCCGAGGGTCCTGGGATCGAGCCCCACATCAGGCTCCCTGCTCAGCAGGAAGCCTGCTTCTCCCTCTCCCACTCCCCCTGCTTGTGTTCCCTCTCTCTCTGTGTCTCTCTCTGTCAAATAAATAAACAAAATCCTAAACAAAATCTTTTAAAAAAATAAAAAATAAATAAAATCTTAAAAAAAAAAAGCCAATGAGAGACACTGGAATTTAAAACAAGGGAATGACTTGATGAGTTTGTACTGGGGGAACATGATCCTCGTAGTAACTTAGCCCAGGGATGGATTAGAAGAGAGGATTAGTTAGGTGCCTGTTAGATTTAAACAGATAGAAGACATTGACCTGGGAGCTCTGTGCTTCCTGCTTCACGGAAGGAGGGTGGGGAGAGAGCGTGTCCGCCAACCACCAAATGGAGCCCTGCGCTTCGCTGTGATGAGAGCAGCAAGGGCCGTTGCCGGGAGCCCCGAGCGCACCCCTGTCATGGGTGGCAGGTGACCCCTTGGTCAAGGCCTGCTTGCTTCCTGGGCTGCTCTGGTGCATCAGTCCCTCTGCCTCTGCACATCCCGAGGATTTGTTTTCCTTGTATTTGTGTTTCCTAGACGGGTTTTGGTGTTGCTTCTACTGAGCATTTTTATCAGAGGACAAAATGGCCAGTCCTCTGGTGTAGGGATGTCTTTCACCCACTTATCCCCTCAGGGCTTTGCTCTGATTAGACAGTCCCTCTTACACAATATGCACCTCCATTCGGTTTATTGGGTGTTGTAAATATTGAAAATGAACCACGAAAGCCTAAGATGCACAGTGTAATAACTTCCTTATTAAAGGGTTATTGCTAAATTCTGGACTAAGACTTACCCTTGTTCTCTGATTGCTACACATAATCTTTTCTAAAGAAATAGGGACCTCATCTCTCTCTCTCTCTCTCTTTCTCCAGAAGGTGAACGGGCGTTGCCATCAATACCAAAGTAAGTGCTGCCTTGTGCATTTTGTTACTTATTTGTGTTAGAAACTGTCAAGCAATCACCATGCTTTATTTTCCATTTGCCTGAATCATCGAACTTCTGTGGATACAACTAGGGAGGGAGAAAACAAGTATTTCCAGAAAGAAGTCAAATGAGTTGTAAATTGTGTTATGTATTTAGCTTTAACCAAAAGTGTAAAATGACTTTCCCCTTATCTTAAGTTGATCGGGCAGCTGGAGGACCGTCCCGGTCACAGCACCGGGGAGGCCTGTTGATGGTTTATACTCAGCACTCGCCTTTTAAGAACCTGAGAATTGGTGCCATTCTGGCCGTTTTACAAGTGAGAAAAGTAAACATAAGTAATTTGTGTTCATTTTTTAAGTTGTTGATGTCATGAATTTCATAGTAGATGTGTTGATCTGTAAGATTAAAAAGAATTGAGCAGTGATGCCAGAAGAACTTACTTAGTAACTTCTCTGGGGTCAGCCAGCGTGCGAGGGACTGGGGACCAGAGGAGTTAAAATTGGGAGATATGGACACGTCGGTAAGTAAGCATCAGAGCCGAGTGCTGAGTGCTCTGGGGTGGAACAGAGTCTCACGACACCTGCAGGTGTTGCTGTTGCTCTGTGGATAAAGGCCAGCATCCTTGGGCCAGCAGGCCAGACCCCGACCACTGGCCCCTGCCGGCCCCTCTAGGCTTGCTTCACCACCACTCACGCTCTTCTTCAGCTCTGTTGAACTTCCTTTAGTTACTGGAGTAAATGGTCCTTTCTTTACCTCCAAGCCATTGTAAATGCTCTTCACTCACATGCCCCACTCGTCCTCCAGCCTCTGTAACTTCACCTAGGCCCTGCTCATCTTTCTGGCTCTGGAAACCTCCCACGATCGCCCAGCCAGCCCTGGAGAGCACCCTCGTGTGCTTCCCCATAACACCTTCTTCCTTGCTGGAGGACTTACCACACTTTCCAAACTACCTCTTTGCTCACGCATGCCCGCAGGACCTCATGGACGGCCAGGGTCGTGTGACGTCATAGGCCTGACCCGGGGAGTAGCCGGTGTGTGGGAGGTGCACCATAGCTGTGCGGGGGTGGAGGCATGGGTCAAAGCAGCTTGCTTTCAGCTTTCGGGCACTGTGTTTCACAAACTCAATCATGTTTAATAGATATTTATTAATGTCTCACATTAGGCCAGGAAACTATGCCCAGAATATCTTTAACTGTAGAAAATCTGTAAGAGAAGACTTTGAGGATTAAAATATACAGAATCGTAAACATAGATACAAAAGTGGATGAAGACGGTAGTAGGTAGAAGTGGCAACAGATGCTAGAAACAGTGAATTAAAAAGGAAACTTTAAAAGAGCGCCATTTGCCACAAATCACAGAGCAGCAGACGCTGTGGCGGCTCTTGGTTGGAAAGTGGTGAGATCCGCGTGGCGGTGAGCAAGCGGATTTGCAGCAGCCCCCGGAGACACGGCGTGGGAGAAGAAGAGCCCGCCGCGCGGGCAGCAGGGCCTGGAAGCACACGGCCTGACCTGCTGTCGGGAGCGCGCACCCCGACTTCCCTGTGCGCGTGGTTCAGACAGCTGCCGGGAGTCCCGTAGCCACAGTAGAAGAGGAACCAGTGATTTGTCACACGGCAACTCTGGTTCAGCCCTAAAGCTCATTAGATCTGGGATACGTGGAGAACTCAGTAAAAGGAACTCGGTCCCATGGCTTTATGCTGAGATCACTGATCGTAGGGGCCCCACAGCTGCATACTGAATCTTCCCCATTCTCGAGAGGGATCTACTCTCCAGGTCCCGTATTTCCCGGTGTAAATTCTGTGTGCTAGAACCATTTTCTGTTCAGCACTTCTATAGTACATGCTTATGTATCTGGAAAAAGTTTTCTTTTATAAAAACGTCAAAGTCACTCTGGCATCTAAAGAATCTGGGGTTCCTTTTCTTTCTTGTTTTGTGCTTTCCGAAAATTTAAAACTGAACTATGCTTCTGTTTTTTAAATGTCGCTGAGATTTTTGGCCAAAATTTTATTTTATGTGGGTAGATACGTCAAACACACCTGTTGTTGGGCAATTTTATGAAACAAGTAACCAGATACATTAGGCTTAGTCTGTAAATAATAAAAATAGGTATTAAGGCCCTGCCTGCTTTTTTACATGCTCTGAATTTAAGGAGGACCAGGCATACTCCTGGGTGTTTTTCAAATTATGTTTTAGAGTGCAATTTCAACTCCAGGTGTCTTTTCCCTGTATTTTATAAATGTGGGGCAACCCCTTGCAGTCTAGCATTGCAGTGTAAAATTTGATCTGACCCACATACCCACCGGCTGCTGAGTGGTGATGTAGGGCTGAAGCTGCTGTCACGAGCGGCTCTCTCAGAGCATCTCGGTGTTCCTCCAGTTGCCTGTCGTTTCTAAAACAGTAGAGCAGTCTTGTTATTTTAAGTGCCTCAGTTAGTAGTGCTTAATCTTTTAAAAATCACCCTCGAAAGTGCATGGTCTCCAGGGGAAATGGCATGGTCCTGACTGTAGGCACTCCGTGTTTGTCGGCACGGTGCTCACGGCTCTGCTCCTCTCTGTTCCAGGCTGACCAACAGCGAGAAGCAAGGCATGCGGACACACGCGGTCTCCGTGTCAGGTGAGAGGCTCCACCCAGAAAGCCCCAGATAGCAAGCTGCCAAGCAGAAACGTTCAGGTGCTATAGAAGGAGCAGGCTCTTTATTGTGATTGCTCTTTCTAGAATAGCTTAGAAAGCTAAGCTGTCTGACCACCCAAAGCTCCATAATCTTAACATCATTAAATAGGTTTGAATATGGTTCAAGATTTTCTTTAGAGATGTGTATATGTAATACAAGACTGTATAGACTTGCAAGTTATTTTTCAGTTGTAATGTCATGTTGACCATACTTAGAGTGAACATTTTTATTTTTGAACTTGCCGTTATAATTAATCTTTGCAACTTAGAATGTAACAGTATACACTTTGTGTATTTATTGTTTTGAGTTCAGGAAATGCGAAATGTTTTTCAGTGGTTTCTGTCTTTCACAATTAACATCAAGTGGTGTTTGAATATTGTTTTTTTAAGAGACATAGTTAAGATACTGGCACAAACAGTATGTTAACTATTTTTTTGCTGGTGTCATGAGTATGGTGTGCTTTCCTTGGTATGTTTTCAAAAAATATGTGCCTTTTCCCCCCATTGAAAAATGTGGGAAATAGAGGAAAGCGGGAACAGGAAGCATCTTCTGTGGACCCAAGTTTGGTGTCTTTTATACGTACACACAGACATGCATGTGTGTGCACACGTGAACACCACACACGGACATGCATGCGTGCATGTACACGTACATATATGCATACACGCATGTCTGCAGTCCGGTCTGAGCTCTGTGCTATGTTTCTACGACAGCAGCTTCCTAATAACTCCAGAGTCTGATAAACTGACTCAGAAGAAACCTAATCCCCATTTGCTTGATTTCCCTTGAGTTAATTTTTCCTGAAATTTAGTTTCGTGCTTTTGCCTAGTCGATGACTATATTCTTTCCTAGTGTTCCAGCATATAAATGCCCCTGCTTATTTTTTATCGTACACAAATACCCCACAAGCCCTCTCTCAGGAAGTGTTCGTGCCCACCTTTGTACACTTGGCAAAGGGACTCTGGTGATGAGCTGCGGGATGCGTCAGAGCACTGTAGTCGCTCCCTGACGAGCTGGAGGGCGTTCTGAGTACTCGAGCTTGGGCCCTTGGCCGGGCTCAGATGCCTGGTAGGCTGCGGGGTTCCCAGCACGCTCTAAAAGAGTAGTCTGTCGTGCTGGCATGCTGCCTTCCCCCCTGTGCTCTCCTAACCCAGCGGTGGTGCTAGGGCACGAGGGGCACTCGGCTGGCGCGCGTTGGGCCTGCCCCTTGTTAGGGCTTTTTGGGCACAGGAGATGGGGCCAACGTAAACCAGGCCCTCAGGGAGTTTGTGATCTAGTTGGAGAGACAAAAGCCACCCTGTGCTGAAGTGGTGAGTGAGGCGAAGGATTCTGTCCATGAGCAGGCCTGGGTCCAGAGGAGAGGACGGCCGGGCACCCCGGGATGACCTGCAGCGTGCCGTGTAGAACGGGTGAGACCGGGGCCAGCTGTCCACCACTCTCTGAGCTCTTCTCCATCGTCCTGCGGGCCGCAAGCAGCTGCACGAGCGAGCCCCGGGGAGCACCCCCGTGCGGGCCAGGGCGCGCCCCAGCCCTACGCTGAAGAGAGAGCAGAGGTGCCCTGTTAGGTGCATCAGGACTCTGCAGCTCAGATGAGGTCCTCAGAGACCCTTCGCGTCTTGTTCCTTCTCCTGTTTTCCTGACCCCCTTTCATCAGTGTCCTCACTGCTTCAGGCTTTGAACCTCAGAGTTTTCAGCACCTGATCATCCTTGAACATCGGGGTTTTACCTCCCGCTGCCACCCATCCTTTCCCGTCCTGCCTTCACTGTTCTCCCTAGCTGTCCCATAGCCACAGGTCTGACCCTCAGTCCCTTCTCCATGTTAATTAATTGAATTGCCATCATACGTATATAATTTAAATAGGCAGCTCTCTGGTCAGAGACTTTCAGTTATAATTTACAGTTAGACAAAGTTTGGGTTCCTTAGCTCAGCCCTCAGAGGCCTCCCTCCCCCCCACCCCACCCCCACACACATTGTCTTCCAGCCTCAGAGAGCAGGGGCCTGTGCTCCCCCACCCACCTTCTCACGGCGGGCATTCAGCTTGCTTGAGCTGTCCCGTTGGCCGGGACGTTGTTGTCATTGTCACGTGTCACAGTCTTCCCGTTCTGATGGTGACACTGTCTCTTGGTGGTAGTCACCACGGTCACCTACCGCTGCCGGCGAAGGAGAGCACTCCGCGTTCAGGGGATCTTTAGCGACAGCACCAGGGGCTCCAGAGTTCGGTGTACCCTAGTCACCCCAGTGCTTGCTCACTTCGGTGAGTTGGGCGAGCAGGTGGGGCGTCCTTCGGTCTTCCACAAAGACTGTAGAACGTAACACCCGGCCCACCAGGAGCCTGCCTCACACTTAACTCAGAAACTGTTACGTTGATGCCTCGAAAACCGGTACTGTTTCTAAACCCTGAGGGTGTTTCTTTACGGAGCGGCCCGGAAACCTGCACCATGTGAAGGTGTTACTGGCCCCCCGAGGGAGAGATCCAGCTGCCCCGGGCCTGCAGACTCTGATTCTGCTTCCCCCACAGCGAGCCATTCTCTTTCTTAAGGCTCCCTGTGTGAGGCTGCCGTCCAGTGGCATGCCGGCCATGAGTGTGTGCTTTTCTGTCATGCTCCATCTCATAGAACCCCTCGCGAGCCCTGCAGGATGGGTATTATTCCAGTTTGACATTTTCCACTTTGCATTAATTCAGTCAGCAAATACTGTGTGCTGGCTCTGTGCAGGCCCTGTTCTGGGTGCAGGGGTATGATGGTGAAAGCAAGGCCAAGTCCCTTCCTTTATGGAGTTGACATTCTGTGGAAGAGACAGACCAGAGATGCTGGATTAAAATCTAGCCGAGAGCAGCAAGGGGGAGGCTACTGAAAACTGTGGTCAAGGGGAGCCTGGCTGGCCCAGTTGGTGGAGTGTGCAGCTCTTGATCTCAGGATCATGAGTTCCAGCCCCACACTGGGAGTAGAGATTACTTAAATAAATAAAGCTTTTTAAGAAATAATAAAATTGCGGTCAAGAAAAGTATCTCTGAGCAGGTAGCATGTGGGCAGGTAACTGTGAGAGCTGGAGCCATGCAGACAGGGAGACACCGAGCACTGGGCCCTGGAGCAGGAGCTTGGAGAAGGCAGGCAGCTGCCAAGGTCGCAGGGAATAGGGAGAGGGACCAGGAGATGCAGCAGGTACAGCAGTCAAGACTTGGAAGCTTGGCCAGGGTCACACACAGCAAGGAGGTGACAGGACTCTCTTTAGTGTTCAGAATGGTTTCACGGCATTAAAACCTTCATGTGCCTTAGATATGATCTTGTTTAATCCCTACGACAGCCTTACAGGGCCTTTTTCATCCGCGTTTCACAGATCTGAGGAAAGAAGTTCAGAAGGTAAACCAATGTGTTAGTGTCACACCTGAAATTGAGGGAGCCAGGATTGGAACTCGGTCATTATTGCTCCCCAGGTGATTGTCTTTCAGTGCCGGTTTAGAGGAGTTTCCCTCGGGTACAGATGAAGAAGCACTTGGAAGGTGGAGAAAGTGGAACTTGTGTGACTGCCCTGTTTCTGAAAAGTTCTTATCTTACCTGGTCTTCAAGACCAGATTCAGGGGCGCCTGGGTGGCTCAGACGGTTAAGCGTCTGCCTTCGCCTCAGGTCATGATCCCAGGGTCCTGGGATCGAGTCCCACATCGGGCTCCCTGCTCCTTGGGAGCCTGCTTCTCCCTCTGCTTCTCTCTCTCTCTCTCTGTCTCTCATGAATAAATAAATAAAATCTTAAAAAAAAAAAAAAATACCAGATTCAGATGTCACCACCTCCTAGAAGCCTTCCCGGACTACTCCAGGACTCCTTCCTCAGAGTGTTCTAGCCCACTGTGCATCTTTCTGTTATGGAAAGTCTTTAGATGGATGTGATCATTTTGGAAATCATCTTGTGCACTAGATCAGAGCCCCATCATAGGCAAAGACATGTTCTGTTTGTCTGCTTATTGACTGGGACATCAGTACTTAGTTAACTCTTTTTAAGTGAGTCAGTGGATGCCTGAGCAAGGTGTGGAGACAGGCCAGGACTTAGGAATGCAGTTCCAGGAGCTAAAGCAGAAGGAAGAAGGGCAGGAACACCCCGAGCTTGCAGGGACACGAGAGTCGCTGGGTTCTCAGATGATGGCCTGTGAGGTCATCACTGTGAGTTGTTCTGGATGCTACTGTGGAGGATTTGGGCAAGGGGCCTGGAAGCTCACCAACAGGAAGAATGAGGATCTAGATAACTGAAGACCGTTTTCAACTCTTGATGGATCCCTGGTTGGGAAATGAAGCAGAATCCTGACTTTGAGAGAGGAGGGACCAGGCACTCATTCTTATTTCCTTGCAAAGTAAATGTCAGTATTTGATCATCTTAATTAAGATCAAAAATTATAACCCACGTTGAATATATGGAGAGTTTATCTTTGAAATCTAGACAAAGTTTCCCTATGAAAATAAATGTAACACTGAGAGATTTAAAGAATAACAGCACATTTCCCTGGGCACCTCATTCTGAGGGCCTAAAGCAATTGTTTTTAGCCTAGTTATTAAGTTTTTGGAAACGTGCATATTATAGAGCTCAGGTAGGACCCAGAGGCCAGTGCTTGCAGGAAGGAGCTGTGAATGCCGCAGGGAGGGGCGTGGCCTACGTCCTGGACGCGGCTTGAGCCGTGCGCGCGCGGGCGCGCGCGCGCGCGCGCGTGCCTGTACATGTGCGTGTGTGTGTGAATTCTCCAGGAACACAGGGCAGTGAATAAAGCTGAATTTTAAATGTTTTGAAGGCGCAAACTTTTGGTTTTTTTGTTTGGTTCGTTTTTGTGTTTTAGGGGTTTTTTGGTTTGTTTTTTAGACCTTACTGTGACAAGAAGTACAGGACCACACGTGGTGATGATGCCACCGCGTTCTGAACAGGGCTCCTGTTGAATGTTTCAGTTACATAAAATGGGATCAG